TCAAACAATTTGTAGTTTACTTGGTGTTTATAAGTTCATTGGAATACACTCTTTTGTTTAATACTGTAATTATCGTCTATAAGACATTGATACTTTAAAACAATTGCTTAGTCATTTACAAAAATGTAATGTTAACTTTCTTTTTCTGTTTTCTTTAAAAGCATCATGATTTAATTTCTTGGAGCGTTTCCTAGTCCATGGACCGTGTGTTTAGAACCAAATGTGTACTTGGAATAAACTGTGAAAAAAAGCGATGTGTTTTTAAAAGTTGTTTAAAATGATTTTACAAAGTGTATACACCCTTTTAATAGGTCCCGAGGTATTGAGTTCTCCGCAATTGACGTCAAATTTCTTTTGAATTCCTTTTGTATTGTAAACATTTTCGCACGTAGCACTTGTTTAGAATGAGAATATCAAACAAGTGAAGTTAGTCATTTTACTTGATCTTTGTATAAGTTCATTGGAATGCACTCTTTATTTATACTGTAATTAAAAGACTTATTAAAAGGGTGTATAGGATAAGGTGATTCATGAGGTTGATGGATAGATAGAAGAATGCATTTTGAACAGAAAATTGATTGACGATTGGTTTTGATTCAAGCACGAAGAAAGAAATGCGGAGAGAGGGATGAATACGATGAATGAATGAATTTCGTGAGAAGAGGTGCATGAAAAAATTAGCTTCCACAATAATCCAGTTTCGAGTTCTCCATGGCTGTGTTAGCCTCAATTCTGCAAAAAATATTCCTAATTGTGAGAATAAAAGTGTGAGATTTCAAATCAATTTCATTGCTTTCTTTTCAAATTCCATGCACTTGGGCTAGCAATAAAACAAAATAGCCAACATATACTGCTTGGTTTTGAGGCTAACACAGAACAAACAAGAACTCGAAATTGGAGTATTGTTAATTTGAGCAAAAGATATTTATGGAGAACCTAGACCACGATACAATGTTCAAAGATGCGGGACTACACCTACTTGCGAAAACGTTGTCGTAAAAAATAGTACATTTGTATTTTAGTAAAAAGGAATAAATTAAAAAAGACAAAAGAAGATCACTGAGGCTGAACGCTTTCTTTTGTTTTGTTTTAATTTATTCCTTTTTACTAAATTCGAATGTTCTATTTTCTATGACAACGTTTCTGCAAGTAGGTGTATATTGTTTTGCAGTAATATCCCTATTTCACTGTGACGTTTCATCAAAACAATCTCTTGTTTAAACGCTAAGAATTAAGTAAGCCAAAAAGGATCAAAGTGACTACTTATCAAAAAAATTCACTTGTGTAATCTTGATACATAATATATATCAAAACACGAGGTTSTCCTWTCGGAGAGAAAATAAATGCGTMRAATTTCCACTGTTTTTGAGCATCKTTTCMCGATGTAAACATACTGTGACGTCATAATGAAATAGGGCAATTAAAATGGCAATAAACTTACGAGATATTTTCTTAACATGCGGATCCTTGTCCAACCAAAACTTGAAGCCATTCTTTGCATGTTCATTGTATATTGATGGTCGTTTAGTTGTKGTYTTCTTGGTYCCTGCGTGATGGATATCGGGYGGTGTGCTGTACATTGTACGACTCTCTGGTACAACATGGTATAAATTTTATTTAAGCAATAAACAACACATTTTCGTGCGTTCCTGGTGAAATAAACCACGCGGGATGTTGGGAGAACACGAAAAGGCGTTACAAAGATTTTCAGCCTTTTGAGTGTTTTCCCAATATCCCAAGTGGTTTATTTTACAAGGAACGCAGAAAATGTGTCGTTTATTGCTTTTATATATTAAAGCATCTTTTATATATTAAAGCATTTTCGCATCCTGTTTTTTACCGGTGAAATAAACAATAACATTTTGACCAATCAGAGATCGCGTGCTATGATAGCTATTAATAATATAAATAAGTTTCACAAGAGATAAAACAAACAAGCAAATAACAAACAAACAAAATAAAGAAAGAATAATAACAACAACAACAAAAAACAGACAATGCAAAGTAAAAAAGAAAAACACCGCACAAAGTCGCGCACAAAAATTAAAGGAAAAGAAAGGAGAAACACAAATCTCTTAAAAAGAAAATATGCCCCCTTCCTCCTCCATCGCTGAACCGTTTTGCAGTTTTACGGGACGACTGATTGTACGTACCTTGCATTAGCTCGTCACGGCGTTTCCCCACGTCATAATAATGCAGTTGTAAGCCTCCACGTGGTTTGGGAAGATCGTTGATTGACAGGCCGTCAGACTGAGGTGGAATGGCCGATGTTCGTGCAAACTGTTTATGCTGGAATTCAAATCAGAGAGAAAGTACCTAATTTTTGCTATAATACAAGTTAAGANTATATACATGGTTTAAGATTTTATTAAATATGGTTAAAATCTTACAAGGATAGAAAAGCGCGAGTAGAATTTAATGAAAATTGTTGTGGCCACATATACTATGAAAAGAAAAACAAACAACAAACCTTTTCAAACAACTATAAAACACAAATACAATCCTTATATATAAAAATATCTCAAATCAACAAACAACGTATAAGAAATAGTCGAAGTGATAACTAACACATTTTAAGAATAAAGCTACATTCAATGATTGAGGAAACATTGGCAAACAGTCTCACTTAATCCTCAAATCATTTCTATGCACACTTGTAAATGAGTTCATAAATACAAGAAACAATGGACAAAGTATTTTCACAAACAAACCATTTCAAACCAAGTACTCGGCGGAAAACTTCTTTAGTGGGACTCAAAAACATTATCTTATGGAAAGCCGTCTTTTTTTCAGTTCTTTTACTAAGCACTTTGCTCTCTAAACTTTGCAGGAAGTTTTTTTATCGATGTCTAAACTAAACTGAGCTTCCCGGAAAGGTCTAGTCGGTATTATTCAAAATAAAGCGAYATTTGTTTACCATAAAAGTAATAAACATTCCTCACCTGTATGCCCAGATCTTGTGGAACTCCTTTGCGTAATCATTTCCACTTGCAAAATGTACGGTTTTGGCTTCAGCCATGTTGGACTGACTTCARTTCAGTCAGCTCACTATGCCGAGTCCAAACACAGTATCTTAGGAACGGTGAGGTTTGCATTCAAAGCCAATTATCTTTGCCTTTGAGGGTAACTTCCCCTGGGATTGCTTTCTTGTGTCTGGGAGCACTCCGTTAAGCCAATGAACAATAATCTTATTCACATGGAAATACTTCACACTCATTATTTATTAATGACTTTTGACTTCACGCAGACTGAAAAAAGTAAAATATTTCACAAAACGGAAAAGTTCCAAAAWTGTAACAATTTGAATTTCATATTGTCAACATTCGGAGAATTCGTTCTTGCAGGTTTAACCTTAGCCGCTCGTTTTCTTTGCGACTGTGTTTTCTCGCTATAGTTTTTTTCTTTTCTTAAATGTTATTCTTGTTCCACTTCTACATAACCAAATAGTTACTTTCTTCTGAAAAAGCGAAGGATATTTACATCTTCGTAGTTCAATTATCAAGAAGCAAGCAGGGTCGGGGAGGGATGCTGATATGCCATATTTTTCAATAATAGAAACAGACAGTACACCTTGCCAAACGGATCTGTCAACTTTGAGACTTCAACGCTTCAACATAATGAACTGTTTCCTTGATATCAAAGCACGCTGACCAGTATCTTTATTACATTCCTTGTTTTTTGCGCAGTCGACCAGTTTTAACGCGTTAATCTTAAAAGTTTTGTGAGATTTGGATGCTTTTGCTTCTAGTCCAGTTGTTAGTCGACGAGCCACGTACACCTATCGTACCTACACAAATGCAGAGAAWCTCCTGGTAACTCTTAACTAACCTGTTTCTTCAGGCTGTAACAACTTTGTCGTGGACTCCCTTGGAACCACCAGAAAAATCTTATTACGACCTCAATATAAATAATTTGCATCTCAGACAAATTATTAACCTCTATTTTTGACTATTCAATTCCCAGGCTACTGATATGATACAATTGTTTTACAAGGTACAACATGATTACAATTATTTTCTGTATTTTGAAGAAAATATGCTTTAATTCTCACAGTTTGCTTGAAAATAAARCTCAAGGTTTCTAAAGCAGTCAAAAATCTCAGAACTACCCCTACCCCCTAAGAAGAGTTATCTGTCAGTGGCATCCATCTATACTCTAACGTCTCTTACTCTAAGGACTGCGAGGCTCTCTAAAAAGTACGGCTGCACTTTTTCACGTATGGGTGAACAGATAAGATAATAAATGTAATCTTTGTAAAACAATTACTTGCTTTCTAAAGTAATGCAGTATTAAGTCATACAGTTACTTGCTTTGTGATACCCGCGAATTTTTATGACGCAGTCCTAAATGTGTGTACAATGTGTATCATAACCGGTCATCTCGACAATATATATATGACGACGAAAATGATTATTTGTATTAAATAAGAAACACTTATACCATGGTGATAATCACTGCCATAGAATATTAATACTATCCAATTATTGTAGTTATTGCTACGACGAAATGTCAAAAGACGCGCTGATTMAACGGACTTAAGCTATTGTTGTGGTTAACATTTACATAGTGTCAGAAAGCCCGCAAAATGCATTATGCAAAATTTTCCAATATAGAACCGCCTTGTACTTAAAATACAAGGACRTTTTGCTCGGGATAAGCTTTGGAATGAAARGGAAATTACTTTTTATTTATAAAATGATATAAAATTGGAGTTTTATTGGGTTAATTACGTTTGATACAGAGTATTCTAATTACTGRSAAGCGTASGATGTCAGCCCAAAGTGTAAACAAACGTGATGGTCACGCAATGGTTTGGCGAAGTTGTGTTTGTAAGATAATTTWAATATCCTKGCAAATAGCAAAATATTGTTAATTTTATCAGAAAAATAAGGYATATCAGTAAATCGGATTGGGTTCTACTTATGTGAAGTGTTTTKAAGTATAAATCGGTTAAGAAAATGTCAAAATGACAGTGTTTTTCAATAATTTCAGTCAACCGGATAACSTCAATTTGTACATATATTCSTTCTAACTCGCTTAATCGGAAATATAATCCGAGTAAAACTATCCACACTGAAACTTCTTCTTTTGGTGAAAATAACTACTGCAAAAAAATTGGGAATTMTTTTTCTTTTCTGSGTAAAAATTGATGCGTAATTCCAAAAACAAGCACATCACTCAGTCAAACATCGTGCTGAGAGTAGATTTAGCAGCTGTTCCCTCTGAGGTCCGCACGGTCCGTATAAATAAAACTGCTWKCCACTAAACATTRTACRCTGCTTGCAAAGTTTGTACATGTGAACYTCGMATTGTTATTTGTGCAAGRAGATAAATTCACCAAGATGTCGAAAACATCGCATCCAAAGTATTGCGACATGATTGTCTCAGCTCTGAAAAGTATTGGCGGTAAAGGGGCATCCAGGCAGGCCATAAACAAGTATATTGTCAAGGAATACGGCTTAACCGAAGACAACCACCACAATGTCATGCTGAAATCAAACCTGAAGCGAGCATCTTCTGTAGGAGGACCAATTATGCACAGCAAAGGCAAAGGAGCTGCTGGCTCGTTTAAACTAAGAGTACAAGAAAAAGCGCCCGCCAAGAAGGCTGCTAAAAAACCAGCCGCAAAGAAAGCACCGAAAAAGAAACCAGCTGCAAAGAAACCAGCAGCGAARAAACCAGCCAAGGCGCCAGAGAACAAAGTCGAGAAACCAAAGGAAGAAAAGAAGGCCGAGGAACCTAAACCCAAACCCGCTAAACCTWCGAAAAGTAGCGCTGTCAAATCGAAACCAGCCAAGAAATCGAAAGCTGCATCGCCAAAGAAACCTAAAGCAGTCAAAGCCGCTAAAMAATCACCAAAGAAATCGGCAAAGAAGCTTCCTAAGAAAAAGTGATGTCCAGAACTTTGTATAAGCAAGGAATGTATATATAGTTCTCGTTTTTATAAGCCCGAGTCTGAGCCCGAGGTGAACAACACTCATGTTGTAGAGTAAACAGACTCGACTGTCTACTGTGATAACTACGATACAGTCGCTCCACCCCCTCCCCCGAGGGGACGTTGTTTGTATAGTATCAGAAGCGACATCTTTCTCGATTCTATATTAGAGCTAAAGGATATTGCGCCTTATTTATTTACATTAATWCTAAGTTGTTTATATTATGTTATAATATGCCGAGTCAACTGCAAAACGATTTCATTATAAGATATTTTAATATTATTTGTGTTCAGCTGAATAAAGAGTGAATTGTAAACCCGGACTGTTCAACTTTCTCTACTAGTGTGTCGCGCGCTTATTAAGGGTCACAGTACACACTACAGCATAAGCGAACTAGGGCCTGCGTACAAACGGTCGGATAAACGCTGGATGAAACTCGGGCTAAAGCAGAACGAGGTTTTATTTACGCGTCAATCGGTTAAAAGCAGAAACAAGAAATGGAAAGACTGAAAATAAACACGTCTCCTTTATGCGAAGAAACATTTGCGAAACGGCTCGAAATGAGATGCACGATCATTCAGTAACTTTGAATTTTAGAGTGAACCGGTTACTTAAATTTCTGATAACATGTTGGGAATACGTGGAAGAGACTTTGTTGATATAGAGACACTAATATAATGTTAAAAATTGCTTTATTTTTAAAACGTATTAATCACAAAAAAGCAAGCAAACGTACTTTATATAACTATACATGTTATGTGTATCTATGAAACCCGTGAAATATTTAACGTACTACGCTTTGTTACCCTTTGTTTTTTTTTCTGTATTTTCGCTGCATGTATCACGTGATTACACTGTTTGACTATTAGACTTTTTCACGGGTTGAGAGTAGCTTTCATTAAACCGTGCAATACACTTTAGGGTGTTACATTTCATTTATACTCTTCATTGTGAACGTTTTTCTTTGTTTTTCGTTTTTTTTTTGTTTTTTTTTCTCGATGTATCACACATTTTGGCTTTCATACATCGTTGACCCATTTAGCTAATTGTTAATTACACGGATTAATGAAAACTACCCTTTGACGAAACTACTTTACCATGTCGTATCGAGCATGTTTTATAAAAAATATTAATAATTAAACGAAAATCCACWAATTAAACCAAAGTAAGCAAAGACGTTTGTATCAATTTGCCTGATTAAAACGAGCAAACTGTTCACGATTTTTAGTCAGGATACAGTGAATAGGTCATAGTTATCGTACATGCATGTACCTCTAATTGATTTACGCGTGGTTTTCTAAACAGATTCTTTTAATTAAAGTTTTTTTAAAAACTTAATTATTTTTATTGTTTCGTAAATATATAAATATTTCATTTTGGCTCTAATCTTAATATGTGATTCCAAAATTGAATCAGTTATTCACCAAAAGCATTTTTCGCGGTTTTCGTACTTATATAAGACATCTATTTYATAATATTTCGCACAATTGCCCCGTTATGTGCAGAAAGCTAGAGGATGTGACTGAATTACTATTGGATAATTTGCAATTGAATATTTATACAACTTACATGATATTCTATCGTTCAGTAGAACTTGATATATATATTTTCTTCTTAAAAGCAGAGTCATTTTGTCTATCGTTTAGTTCCTTACATTTAATGGTTGTTGCATTGTATCCAGATAGGAAGATGAAAACTAAAGGTCTGGGTACGAGAATGGAGTTGTTGCACGGGGTTACCTACGTAGCACGCAGTTGATGTAATGTATTCATAAATGTATTGTATTCCATTGTTTCTCGTTCTATTGTATTATGTGTTTTGTATTATATCTTTATGAATATATTACATCAACTGAGTGCTACGTAGATTCTCCCGTTGTTGCACTTAGTTATCGTTGTCCCCAGGCTCCAACATTACCCTCGACTTTTCATGTCCGTTTAAGTTGAAAAAGAACTGGTATTATACTGCCTCCGATAGAGTAACGCTTCAATATCACCAAGACCTATGTCCCTCGGTTTTTCCTTTGACTCGTTATCGTGTTTTTCTGGCTCGGAATCTTTGTCGTCCTTATCACTGTCCCCATGACAGCCCCCATTCACTAACTTTTCCTGGTCTTCCTTTTCCTTTTTTTCGCCAAATATTCCGTCGAAAACTTCGTCTTCGATTCCCTCAGGRTCGTCTTCGATGCTGTTGAATGATGGGACATTGTAGTAGTCACGTGTTTCGTCGACGGAGCTTGGGTCAAAGTAGGGATTGTCTCTCATCATCATTTCCTCCAGTTTGTTTCTTATCTTCGTAAATGTAGGACGGTCTTCTGGTTTATCTTCCCAGCAACGTAGCATTATGTCATATCTGTAAGATGAAAAAATCATTTACTGAAAGTCGGTACAGAGAAAATGGTCGCACAGATCAAGAGAAACTTTCACAAAACAATCTTCCAGATTTAATTGATCAAAATCAGCAATATAAATTTGTATGTGTAAATTTTAATTTTTACAATCGGTAAACYGAATTTATTTTGTAGGTATTTCAGCATTTGCACCCATAATCTCTTTCAGTTTTAAGTCCGAAAGGAAAAATAGACCCCTGACAACGCAAGTACTTACACTTCATTGTCGCAAGTGTCTGGTTTCTCCATTCTGTAGCCATCTTTCAATGCTTTCAATAGTTCCCTTATGCTCTTAGTAGGATAGGGTGTTCCTCCTAGAATACAGAACAATAAAAATGGATCAAAGATTGTGCAAGAAAATGTAGAAACAAAAGTGCTCACCCGACCAAACACGGGTTAGAATCAGATTCACGATGTATATAAAAATAATGTTCTATTTGTTTTTTTACTTACCTAGAGTTACAAGCTCCCATAGGAAGATACCATATGCCCAACTGTAGCATAAACAAGGG